ATTTTTTTTTTCATTTTTTTTTTCATTTTTTCCCTTTCTGGTTCACTCTGAAATATTTACACTCGGGCTCCCACGGCTCCTCCAACACATCCCTGTCTGCACATGCAGACGGATCCGCCGGCGCCGTGCCCACGTCCCCAGGCCCTGGGTGCCCTGGTGACACTTTGTTTGGTCCCAGAGTAGGGAAAAACACGGGGAAAACTTAGGGGGGGTGGTCCCGGGTGGGCCTGATCCACAGGAAAATCCCTGCACCGTTGCTTCCCAAACCAGGTGCCAACACCGGGGTGTGATGCCACATCCCCCGTGCCCACCCCAGTGCCCCCCCAGCTGCCACCACACTGGGCTCGTTGGGGCTGGCTGGTGGCAGAGCTGGGAATTCGGCGGCTGAGGGCTGATGTTACCTCGGCTTGCTGTGAATTACGAAGTGAATTCTCGGGGTATTTGTTGTAAATAAAGTCACAGCGGGGGCCTTGTGAGCCGGAGTGACGTCAGCGAGGAATTCGGGATGAAAGACGTGGCTGGGCTAAAAATAAACACGGGGCACAGCCGTTTGTTTGCCTTGCAAATAAAGGCCTTATTATGAAATGGAAATAATTGCGGGGATAATTGACTTTTCACCGGGCCCGCTGCTCCTGCTTTGCTTTTGAGGTGTTAAAATCGTGCCACGTTCCCCCGCCTGCAGGTCCCAGCCTTCCAGCAAAATCCCGCCTGAGGGTGGGGCTGGAGCTTCCCTGGTTCCTCGAGTGCTTTAGGAGATCCTGCCTCGGGATATTCACATTTTAGGGAATCCACTTTCCCATAAAACAGCCCTGGCAGTGGGCACTGCCCTGCCCTCCTTCCCACGGAGGGAAATCAAAGCCCGAGCCCCGGCGCTGCAGCTCCAAAATAAATCTTTGGAGTCCAAAAATAAAATTGGATGCGAATATAAACTTGCAGAAACATTTGCTGATCTCAGATTTAATTTTTTTTTTTTTTTTTACATTCTCGGTGTGTGTTTTTTGTGATTGTTTTGACTGCTGAAACGGCTCCTGGCCCCGACTCCTGCTGTCACCATTCCCAGCAATTACAGGGATTTTTGAGATGGTTTTCTTTCTTTTCCCAGAGTTAACCCTTGGTGGTGAGGGTGGGGGTTGTGGGATCACTGTGGGATGGGGCTTTGGGGCTTTGGGATGTGGAACTGGGGATTTGGGGCTTTGGGATGGGCGTTTTTCAGGAGGGAGATGGGGGAAGGAGGGAGCACGTGGTGCAGCTTCCAGTAACCCTGGGAATAAACTGCTCCCTAATCCCGCTGATTTCTCTCTCTCCTTTCCTATTTCCCCCCTCCCAGGTCGGACAAAACCCTTCAGGACATTGTGTACAAACTGGTCCCGGGGCTTTTCAAAGGTACAGCCACGGGCAGGGGGAACTGGGGGGGTTTTTTGGGGACAGGAACAGGGCCGGCAGGACAATGTGTGTGTGCACAGCCAGGGGTGGGCTCATCCCACGCTCCGGGGGCTGCTCTGAGGGGACCCACGGGATGCAAAGCTGGGAGCAGGAGCCTGGATTTGCTCTCCAAGTGCCCCCCCCGTCCTTGTGGGGGGGAAAATTGTGGGGTCTGCGGGTGTGGGGGGGCTGAGGAGCAGCTGAGCTGCCGGAAAGGCTTTGTCACAGCAGCGGCTCTGAGGGTTTATGGGTTGATTGCTCCTGCTAAAGCCGCTGCTCCCCAGGGGAGGGCACTGGGCAGTCTGGGGGCTCCTCTCACACCCCACTCTTTGCCCCCATCTCTCCTCGGAGAGGTGTTTTCCCCCCTCACCCTCCTCCTCCTCCTCCTCCCTCAGATGAGATGAAGAGGCGCCGCGATTTCTACGCCGCGTATCCCATGGCCGAGGGTGAGTGTCCCCCCCCCCGACCCCGCCGTGTCCCTCCCTCCCTCCGCTCAGCCCCTCCCTCCCTCTGCTCCCGCAGTTCCCAACGGCTCCAACGAGGATCGAGGGGAGGTGTCCGAGCAGGACAAGGGGAACCTGACGGACGACGAGATCGTCAGCCTGTCCATCGAGTTCTACGAGGGCTCCAGGTACCACTTTTGGGGCTGCTCCCAAACCTCTGCCTGGGTCTGGGGCTTGGGAAGAAACTCCCACCTTCTGTCCCCCCTCTGGCCCTGAGATCGTGGAGTCACGGAATGGTTTGGGGTGGAGGGGACCCTAAAGATCACCTCATTCCATGGGCAGGGACACCTTCCATGCCAGGCAGGCAGGGAAGCTCTTTCCCAAGGGCTGCCGTGTCCCTGGTGCTGGTGGTGGCCTCTGAGGATGCCACTGGCACCCGGAGCAGAGTTTTGGGGGGAGTCAGTGGTTGCAGGGGCCTGGATGGGAAATGGGCATGGAAGTGGTTGGGGGGGTGAAGCCACAGCCTGGCTGAAGGTCACTGGATGTCTCCCCCATGGACAGCCCTTCTGGGGGGTTCTTCTTCCTCTCCACCTCTTCATTCCTCCATAAACTTTGTCCTGTGCTTCCTTTCCTCCCCCCCAGAGAGGAAAAGAAAGGCACCGTCGAGAACGGGGACCTGGAGAAGGAGAAGGTGAGTGTGGTGGGACTGCGACACGGGGAGCTCCACGTCCAGCTGCCCCCGGGGCTTTTGGGGTACAGGAGGGCACCCCAAAAGGGTCGAGGGCACCTCCTGGACCTGCCCGGTGGCCTCAGTGACGTCTCCCCCCGGCCCCAGAGCAACGGGCTGCGGTTCCTGCGCTGTCCCGCGGCCATGACCGTCATGCACCTCGCCAAGTTCCTCCGCAACAAGATGGATGTTCCCAGCAAGTACAAGGTGAGGGGATCCCCGGGGGTGCCTGGGGGTGCCTGGGGGTGCCTGGGGGGTGTCTGGGGGTGCCCGGGGTCTGCTCATTGCCCGGATTTCGCTGTGCCC